TTTTTTTTAAGTAAAACAACCATATCAGGTGGTGAACGCATCGCTTGGGGCGTAGAAACCACAGCTGTCAAAGTCACATCGTATATAGATGAGAGAGGAGAAAGGTAAGCGCATTCTGGTTATTCATATGAATTTTCTTTCATTTTTTTGAGCTTGAGAATGCTTTTTGCAGAAATTTCTTATGTTCGCAAACTTGGTGTTAGAATGGATTTTTCTGTAGGTATCTGTGTAACAGCAATAATTTCTTGCAAAAGTTTGGCTTTCGCTTCTGTAGAAAAGCGAGCAGAATCATACTTTTCTTTGCGCTGTTAAGTCACAAGTTTGTCGCCATCTTTATGAGTGCAAGTCCCAATGCTTTGCTGCATGATGGATTTGTATGCTTAGAGTATCGTTTGATTGTTCCACTTGACTGCGCTGGCTATAAAAGTGATCATTGATTAGCAGCGATTTATTTTGCCTACGATATTTTTCTTTCAGAATGCGAGCCGGAATGGAACCAGCAGAAAAGCCTGTCTATATAAATCCAGCTCTCAAAGGAAGCCTTCTGTACATGCATAAAGGGTCGAAGGTAGTGGCAAAATGCACGAAGTATCTGCGTACGTTTTCTTGTTATATGTAAAATTGGACAATCGAATCGTCATCATTTAGTTGATAAGGTTGGAGATATGGGTATATCTATTGGACGAACCATAGCCACTGGTGTTGAGAAAACCCTTGGCGGTCAAGGAAATGGCGAAGGAGTCGTGTCTGGAACGATCTGTGAGGAATTTAACATTATTAGTGAAGACAACCGCAAAATAATATTTCAGCTATACTCGGAGGAGGTATCACCGGTATCAGTACGGTATGGATGGCTTTAGAAAATAACAGTCGTGTTCTTTGTCGTAATATTGCCGATCAAACAGTACAAACTGTCAAGCTAAAGTGAGTTCCTTTCGCATCCTTTCATTGAATCTCTCTATTTTTTCTGGGATCCCATTTTTTTAGGTATGGTGATGATGCATCCGAGGTAACTGAGCATGCTTTGCATACTGCTGGTCATGGATCATTAGCCGCTGCGCAGCTATGGGATCTAGGTCCTCGAAGTGTTGCTGGTCGCATGGCGCGCCGTGCTGGAGTAC